AGCCGTCGATACGTCAAATCGACTCGACGCCCCTCGCCTTTTTTCACCTTCGCCGATCCAGAGAGACACCGAGTCGATGCCTCGCCGGTATAAACTCAATCAAGAGATTCCATTTGCATTTCTGCGCCGACATGCAGAAAGACTATATTTTCTCCCCCGGGAGCGGCGGTTTCTCTTTCTTATCTGACACGGTGTTTTCGCTGTACAGCTGTCTCTGTTCGCCCTTCATTCCGCTCGCTGTGAAATTTTTACGGGACGGAGCAGGGGTCGAATCGCAGACACGAGCAGTCGCTCTAAATGCAATATTCAACTTATCTGGATCTGCGATTTCGGGCGCTGCGAATGCGTTGGAAATCTATATAAGAGTACAATCTATCGGCTGAAGACCGTATTTTCCAGGGAAAATAAATCGGCCTGCAAGCGAATACCATAAGGTGTGCGTTATTACGCCTTGATATTTCATACAAGATTTTTCATAGAAAAATAGTGCGATTGAGACGTGAACAAACTGAAAGTACGTGCACCCACAGAAAAAATTTCCAGATTTTAGTAGATTTATCGCCAGATCATAGTAAGTCAATCTTTTTTAATTCGACGGAGGAGAATAAGAATTATTGATTTTATTCTGATATTGTCTTATTTTTATACTAAATGGGGTTGTGAGAAATATAAATGCGTCAAGAATATTTGTTGTCTCGGTAACAGAAATCCTTTCTGAGGGTGTGCTTGTTGCGCGTGGGCTGCGAGAATCTCTCGTATCGCGCTGTATCCAGCAGACTGTGCTCAAGTAATAAGGAAAATGCTGAACATCTCTAGTACCAACATTTTTAAATACTTAGCGTTATCGTGCAGAGATTAAATTGAATTGTGCACAGTTTCTCTTGTAAATATCATGTCGCGTCTCTTGATCACCCACGAACGCGTTATTCATTCATTTGATTACACGATCAAACTGAGATGCAATAAATTGAAATTGAAAACTGATGAGACTTGGCGTGTGGCGAACCATCGTCGTTAACCGTCACGTTGCGATCGATGAATTACTTTGCATCTACCAAACATCCGACGCGCGCGCCGTATACTAAATTGCGGATTACGTCGCGGTATTTCCTAGCGGTAGCACGTACAGACACATGATACCAGCGCGCCAAGTCTGAATATAATCACTGCCCATAAATCATTCGATTCCCAGATCCCCGGCGGGAACGCGGAGCGTATAACCAGCCACGCTCGCGAGAAAATGGAGACTCGTACCCCGGGTATCCGATCCTCCTCCCCAGTGAGACTCGTCTCACCTTGTCGCGGCTCGATTCCCTCCCTTATCTCCGCCGGAGACATTTCTACGACATTAAGCAGGCGTATCGACACGCCGCGACGCGCGGCGCCGCGTGTGAGATACGACCGGATATCCGGCCGATCCCGCGGCGGTATCCCCTCGTCTTCCTCCCCCCTGCTGTTCCTCGCAGAAGGCTCTCGTTCGGGGCGGTTGTCTGCAAACTTTGATTACATCTGCCAGCAGCCTACCCTCCCTCCCGTCACCCCCTGCCTTCTCATCCCGCCACAACTCAAATATAGACGCGCGCTACCAACACCTTATTCTTGGACGTTGTCTACCAGACCCGTCACACCCTGGCTGCCCCCTTCTGCTCCGTCAGATTCTCGCCACCGTCCCATCAGATTTACTACCGTCAAGTGCCCTGCCCTCCCTCTTTCGCTCCCGCCGCCGTGAAAACCCATGGAAACGTATTTAGCAGATGTCCCGGTCGGCGACGCGAGATGTAATTTCGTTAGCCGCTACGTGAGCCGCCTGGCAAAAGTGCGAGATGAATATTGCGCCTTCCAAGATGCTAGTGGACTTCCGATGGGCGTCACTGTTGTGCCATAGCGATCGAATCGAATCAATGACGAGATTTGCGGTTTAAGTTGCGAAAACGCGCCGATCTAATTCTTAAATCGTAATTATACGACGTTACTATCGCCGCTATTTACAAATTTGAGTGGTTTATTTTCTTCATTTAATGATGCATTTCGCTAATGACGTCTAAATTACTGCAGATCGCACTGGACCTTTGTGTGTGTCATGATTCATTGCCCCGTGTGCATTCCCATTCAGCAATTCGAAACTGTATCAATTTTAAACATCGATGCACTCTGAACGAATTTCCGATGCACGGGATCAAAGGTATTTTTATTAATTACAGTAATTACGCTATTCGGTTCTAATTACGTAGACACCAATTTTAAATGACTGCCGCTGTCTGGATAGAGGGATAGACGCTTGTTTCACTTTACGTCAAGGTAGTTGGGTAAATTAGCCTCGACTTTGGGTGACATCTGGCAAATATTCCTCGTCGGCAGCTTTGTCAATGGAACAACGCAGATATTTACAGAATCAACACGATGAACATCGGCATATTGCGAAATTTTGTCCCGTTGTAACGAGACGTATTGCAAACTGTCGCTTCGGGCGACCGATCCTTCGCACCGTTCAAACGCTCCTCCATTCAGTTCGCCGGGCAAAGGTTCCCCCATACAAGACGATTACCCGAACGATTGCCGTTATTACTTTCCGAGAAGACGCCGCGCTATTTTAATTGAGCGTAACGCCACATAAGATGACGGGGTCCCCGCGAAAGGCCACGTTAACGTTCCTAGAAGCGCAAATCTGTCGTGCAAACGGCACACGCCAAGTTTCTGTCTCATTCCTACGAGTTGGCGGTTGGTTCGCGAGCCGCGATATTTCGTCATGCAGGATGTCGTCGACGACTTTGAATGATTGCAGTAATAACGAGGAAAAGGCGGCGCGGATTTCAGCTTGCCCTCGCATTTGATCGCCACGGAAGATGGTGAAATGATCGAGGGGTAAACCGCTCGGGACATTGTGGTGTACAGATTTGCGGCATTACTGGACCAATGTCCGTTGCTAGGCACTTTTTCGGCATTGGTTTGGACATTATATAGATAGAATAGCTAATTGCAATTTTTAGTTACGCGGAGTAAAATTCGTAAAAGATCAGAGTTACGAACAATCTAAATAATTCGATTACTAGTTGTGGGCCCCAAAATGGGTTGCTAACTGTCGTTTTTCCCCCAGAGTGATTTTGGTCAGCGGTCAACCCCTCGGAAATGATCTCGCATTGTTGCAAGACACGTGCAGTCGTGGTTGTCAGAAAGGTTGTCCGGCATTGTATGACTAAATTTCGGAAATGCAGTCTATCATGCGAGATATTATAGCTTTTGCTCACTGATATGTGCAGTGACGCATTATTAGAGCAGAGGAATGATATGTACAAATGTCTATGCAACGATACGTACGAATATTCCGAAAACGTAATGTAAAACGTCGGACAATCTTTCTGACCGTACAGTTTTAGAAAAGACAGTGTAAACCGGGTTCCTGTGTAGATGAAAATGAAAGATTTGGCAGTGCATATTGTAAACAACAAAAGCAGTTTTAATTTATCATCTATCTTGATATAATGATAGGAGCTAAATTATTACAATGCTATTCTAGCGACGACATTGTTTGCTCGTCGTAATGACGTTCATCGCTCTCGCGCCGCAAAAGAACGATGGGAAGTAGTGACAACGATAACAGGAAAAGTGACATCGTTCGTTAGGTAGCTCCTAAAGCTCTCGTTAGACGCTGGGTAGCCGTCACCGTTTTATCCCGTCGAGAATTAATCGAATCGGCGATAAAGTGGATTATGCGTCGAGGTTCGATGGGCCTCGATTCCATAATGCGATTGGCCATGCTCCTCCCGCGGGAGGTATTTTCAGCTTCCTTCAAGTATAATGATTCATAATTAGATATTACCTGCAACGTATTAAGGAGGGCGCTTAATATCTTAATAGAGTTAGCGGCAAGTATTCATAGTCATTACCGCGGGGTAGTACAATTAACTGGCTCGCAACTCAGCTGAAGTGATTTTTCTATCATTATTAAACTTTTTTTGCAGGTATCTTTGGAAAGATTTCTTCAATTATAATTTTTCGTTCGTATTATTTGATAAATATTCACTTGAGTGTATTCATTAACAACATTTTACATGTAAGTAAGAAAAAGTGAAATAATTCAACAGAAATATGTTTGTTAAAACAAATAAAATAGACCACTGTGTCGTAAAATTCGCACGAGATAAAAAAATCGCGTGACAAAAGAATGAAAACGATTCCGCGATACTGCGTTCTAAAACAAAAGAAATCTGGTGAAAAAAAAACTTTAAAAGAATCGCGTTTTATCGAGCATTCGTACGGGCACTAAATTCCACGTACAAGACGTGAGGATTCCGGAAATATAACTCCGTCATTTTGTCGTCGGTGGAGAATTACACGTCAGTAGACGAAAACGAGGGAATAATTTACGCCGGTCGTCGGGCCAGAAAGGAGAAATCCGCGCCGAGAGGAGAAAGCGCTCGTAGGCTGACTTTGTTACTCGCTCTTACCCCGAGCTTTTTGTCAGGTAAAAAGTTTCCACGGGAAAAGGAACCAATTTAATAAGGCCTTAATAACTTCCCCGAGGGAGGCAGACGCTTGGCGTACGGCTGTGTTTGACGGCTACTTCACGGTCTTCTCCTTTTTCGACGTGAAGAGTAAATTCACGCTTCCTCGCAACCGAGTGGTATAACCCTTTATTGGCAGAACGGCGATACCGCGTGCTCGTCATCCTCAACTCCTCGCGTGGTGCGATTGTTCAGCTTTTATTCCGCGTCAAGGGTGGATACAGAACTATGTTTGCCGAGTCGATAGAGAGATCGTGTGTCAACGAACTTGTGGCGCGAAGATTGCATCATATCGGGAACGGAATTGTAAAAATTTTTTTTACTCGTCTACACGATACACGGATATAATTACGTCACGTGAAGTTACGTGTATTTCATTTATCGGATTGTTATATAATTTAGCGAGGCAATCTGCGAGCGCGTAATAGAGTCGCTAATTTAGATTTTTACTTGTTAAGAACTTAAGTGCTGACGTAGACTTTGCTTTTCTTGTTGCAGCGATCTTCAAGGCAATAATGTATCGGTGATATTCAAGACGGATTTCGAAGACATGGCAACGCTCCACGTTTTGTAAGTATATCTTTAATTTTCAGAGTTCTCTTAATTGTCCAGTTAATTGTCAGCTATTATTGATCTTTCTTTTTATGGCTTTCGAATCAACAAAAATTGTGTCTGAAGTCAAGAGTTTCGATATCAATTATGTAGTAGTCGCTTCTACAACACCACATACAACTTTTGTCACATTATTTTCATATAAATATAGAAAATTTGTTATTCGTATATCATTGATTCTATACAATTCTACATGATTGGAGTATTTTGAATTTACAGGTTGCTGTCGAACAATCAAATTCACACGATCGAAAGAGGGGCTTTCCAAGATTTGGTGGCGGTGGAAAAGCTACGCCTAAACAACAATCAGATACGTCACTTGCCCGATCTTCTCTTCAGCAACATGATGAACCTAAAACGCCTGTGAGTACGATTGAACACACAATCGCGCCAGTTGTTATCGCGTTCGGTCGGGGAACGCGCGATTCTAAATCGATCCGTCGACAATCAGACGTCATTTGCGTAACGAATAATATAATTATACATAAATATCTGCCGACATTCATGACCGTTAACGTAACGCATTAGCGTCCCGCTAACAGGTTTGACGGGCGTTATTACGGCAATATTGCGAATTCGAGTTATATTTCATCGCCGCCGCGAGATATCGACGAGCGTAAGAACAGAATTCGTTAAGAGCCCGCGAGCGTATTATGCCGCGGGATTTATGCGATCTGTCAGCGGTGTACGGTACATAACGCGCGCGGGTAAATGGCGCAGCGGCATTGCGAGATACGAGCGATGTTGCAACGAGTCTGCAACGTCATGAAAGTTTGCAATATCGTAGCAACATCCGCGCCGGTATTTCGCGCGGCGCGGCGGTTTCTCGGTAAGCGAAATCTCGGGAGAATAATTACACGCGAGATCAGTCCGAATGTCAGACTTCAGACACGCATAATACGCGCGACCCCCAACGTCCCTCCCACCCCTTTCTCTCTCGTCCTCATCATTGTGTCAGGCGCGACGACAGGGGGTGCGAGGTGGGTTTATATCGTAAACTTTTCAGACGGCGGCCTACATATCTACCGTATGTACTGCGAGAGAGGGCAACGCAAGCCGGGGGCTCGGTGTAACCTGCCACGCGAGACTCCCCGATCGAATGTACGCGCCGCTGCATACGCGACTTTTCACCCCCGGGCTTTAGCTTCTTAAAGGCGATCGTTCGATACCCCGGCGCGGCGCCCCGCATTTGCCTCTCGCACGCGACTCGCCCGAGCATTTTCTATCTTACGTGACCGACTTGGGTACGGATACACGCTTATCGCGAGCCGACTGTCTTATTAGCGAGACCTGATTCAGGAGGCGAAATAAAAAGGCGGGGACTGTACGATTTTAGACATTTGCCTGGCACGAAGATCGATGAAGTCATTACTTAGAGGTGATAACATCGGTGCCTCGCGTTGTACATGAATCCGTAATAAAGCGTGGCTTTTTAAATCCACGTGGCGTGCGTCGATGGTCTCGTATGCCAAAAGTGAATTCTGTATTGTTGTACTCTCTAATGAACGCCGTGAAATAATTGCCAATCAAATACTCGGAAACGTTACTACGCTTTTTCACTCGATCGCCGACCGGTTTCACTCGGCACAATTTATTGAAGAATATTTCCGAGTACGGAACGCTCTTCTGGCCGCGGCTGCACGATCTTAGAGAGCGATAGTATCGAAGGAACACGTAGCCATTCCGTATATGTTCCGTATACAAATTATGCTCATCCATAAGCTATCCGTCGAGAGCGAGCCGACCTCGTCTCAGCGACATGACTGGTTTTCTCCGTATCCGACATACGGTTCGCCTCTCGTTAACGAGAAGAGCCACCTTGGATGTCATAAGAAATTCCGATCCCGTGATTACGCCGTCCCGGGGCTCCGCTCTGTCCGTCCGTGCGCTCGTTGCTTTTCCTCCGAACGTGCGCCGTAACATTCTTCTCGATCCGGAATCTCAATCAAACGCGGCACGACGCGCTACCACGGTTGCTGAGAAAAACAAAATAGAGACAGGCCAGCCCGACGAGCGGCCTGATATCGTGCCTTTATCGCGATCGAGGGGGGCACGAACAGTTTCCGTTCGGAGGTTCCTGGTGTTCCCGGCAGCTGCCAGCCGCGCGGTCGAAAAGTGCGCGAGTCTCTTCCTCGCGTCGCGGATGACAGGACGGCGGAGATCCAGGGGGAAAGAGAGAGAGAGAGAGAGAAGCAAAAAAAAAGAGAGACGAGAAGAGCGGCAAAGAGCAAAAAAGAAAAAGGAGGGGAAAAGGAGAGGGAGAACAGAGGAGGAGGAGATCGTCCATCTATCATCCTGCAAAGTGGGCAAGATGGACGGGACTCGAAACTTGCCGTCTCGGGGCTCCGCTTCGCTCGGGCACAACCTACAGTTTCTGACGATAAGGCTGGATCAGCCACCTTACAAAGGGACGTATTATGTTGCGACCTTACGGCGAGATTCTCACGGGCGTTCGGATGCGCGATAATCCTTCATCCGACGCGGATAAACCAGCGTTAAAATCGCGAAGTGGAAGATGCTAATTCGCGCGCTATGCCGGCCGCTATTCCGAAACTCTCGGAAACTCGCAATTCCAGCGGCGGCAGCTTATTCTACAGTTCTCTCTTCGACGATGTTTCTCTTTAATTTATATATTAAATCAGACCGTGCTATCTTCTTAGTACAAAACTCGCTATCTTCTCTTTTTGCAAAGATGCCAGATGTCGGATTTTGTTCTTTGTTGAAACGAGCCAACGGAAGAACAAAATGGCATTATATCTCTCGGAATTATTTTAGTACACTTTTTTTTCTCCACTAAAATACGTAATTCTCTCGCTTTTGTCAAGTTATGACAAAACTTGCTACACGCGACAATCATTGTTTGCATATACGCGACTAAGTGAATTCCCGAGCGAGCACGATTCAGAAAGTTACCGCCAATGCGGGGCCGTGGGCCTGATAATTGAGCGATAAGTGGACGAGGCGATTAATCAGACTCTTCTTAAAACAGCTAAAAGCTACGTGGACTTAATTGCGCGCTCGTCTCGTAAATTCGACGCCGGGGATGTGGGCAAGTCGCGGCGAACGTAACGTATGATTAACCCGTCGCGCAAACGTAGAAAGGCACGGGTTATTCCACGCGGTAAGAGGATGAAACCTACGTGATAATAAATGGTTTGACACAATGGAAAGGGGCGCGGACACTCCGTTGATTAGTATCGCGCGGCCGTATTGCGGCGCTTGTAACGCGATACGCGGGACAGCGACGTGCAAGCTGGTACTTTATGACGCTCGCGGCATTTGTCCGCATGTACGCTTAAGCTGATAATAACCAGGACAAACGTCCGCTGAACCGAAGCCGCGCGAATAATTTAGGCTGATGGTAGAAAATGATTCGTAAACGCTCAAGGGTCTGGGCAGAAAAATTGTCGTAATTGTTTACGATTTTGTCGTAAGATTTAAGTCGGAAGTAATTGTCGTAGACGTATGTCGCATCCCTTGCATTGCGTCGCGAGACGACATACGCACAATTCTTCGTGCGTTGACCTCCGACACTGACTTACGTCTTGCGGCAGAATTGCAAACAGTTACGACAATCGTTCTACTCAGATCCTAAGTCGTAGACGTAAGGCAAGGCAGAGAAAAACTTAAGTAGTATACAACAGACTTTTACGACTTCAGTTTTTCTCTGCCTAGCCTTACGTCTACGACTAAGGCAGGCTTAAGCGTTTACGGATCGTTTTCCGCCATCAGCCTTAGGGGGACAACATCCGAGGAGCCACGTGGGGGCCACAGCGATTTTCGGACGTCGACAAATTATAAGCGCGTCATACAAGGAGCCGCGCGCGCAATCTCGGTTTATCGCTCGTGAGAGAATGGCTGTAATAATTATCGTGCAGTTGTTATCGCGTATCCCGACGATCGTAATACGCTGTATAATACAGCTTTCACGGCCCTCGCAGTAAATCCCTCTCATCCCCGACGTTACGGCGTCACGTCACACGCGACCCACGGATGTAAAACCGCGCGGACAATGTTGTTGAACATTTTCGTACATTCATCCGACGTGGCTGTGTCGCTCTCTTGACACGTCGTTTCACATCTTTATTTCTCTCGATCGAGAAAATTAGTTTTTTAACAAATTTCGCAGACGCCAGAGGTGGTGGATACGTCTACCCGAGGGCGCGCCAAGTTTTCAGACGGCCGCAGTTTTCCAACTCACGTCGCAAGTATGCTAAACGGAAAATGCCGGGAATCTCAGGGCGTAGGGCGTCGTCGTGGAAGCTATTAAAGCCAGTTTACCACACGCAGGAGCGTTGCTACAAATGTCCCTGCGTAACATTCTGAACTGTTGCGTCCGAAGAATGCGCCGTCGTCTCTCCGGAGACCGCGATCCTCGGTGTCGCGGCGGCGGCGGCGGCGACGACCTCCCTCCCTTAAGTTTCACAACCCCTCGCGGCAGCGCGATCGTGCCATCGGCCGCGAGAGATTGCGGGGCGTGGAGGTTCCTGATAAACAGAGGCGGACGATACGTCGGATCTCGTTTCGTCCCGTTCTTATCGCGGTAATACAGTTAGCGACGCCGGCGACATTCGGAATTGGACGGACCGCGCTCGCGAGAGGACCACCGGGGTCCTTTTGTTAGTTTCGCGCGGCCACGTCGAAATTCGGTAATTGCTTTCTGGATTGGCTCGAGCGAGCTCAGAGAGGTTTCCCCAGATCCCCCGACTTATATGACTCGAAAAGCACATAAAGCAAACGCCCGATATGCTCGTTTTCCCTGTTGATTATCGTCGCGGCTCTTTATCCTCGTCTATTCTCCGGGCTCGCCTAACTTGTCGACTCTGACGACGCGACGTCATGCATCGCGTATATTTCGCGTGTCCCGTCCCTCCCTTGTGAATTTCAAACGTTTTACTAACCACATAATTTCGCATAGTCTATTTTCGCCTATTATTCGCTCTATCGCATTATTTCCATGAACGCAAATTGATTTACGCTTAATTAAACTTTGGCGCGCGTTTCTATTTATTTTACTTTTATCTCATTATACGTAATAGCGATTCGTCGAGTCTCGTAATCAATCGCCTGAAATAATGAGCGATATTTCGAAACAGACTTTGGCATGCTCCTTTTGTTGAGTCAGCGTGGGCACTTGGAAATTCGGAGATTGGTTTTTGCGATTGGATCGGGCGCAGTGGGAATTTAATATCCCAAATTTCTGTACGCGAAGGTACTCGATTCCGGCTTATCCATTCACGTGTTTCTCGCGTGCATTTCTTGTTGCGCATCCACCCAATTTATTAAATTATACGTCTATTCCGTCCTATTCTTTCCTCCCTGACTTATTAGCACGCGTTACTCGCCTCTCTCGAAATAATTTTCAACAACACTTTTGCCGACGTGCAACAAATTGGAATTGTGTCAAGTACAAAGTTTCTGGACAATAATCGATAGTTGTAAAACCGTTTTTAATTCGTTTCATAGTTTCCACGAAAGTACTCTAGAGAGATGAACTTTTATTGCGCGGCGTGTGACAAACGTTTATTCGATGGCACGATCAAACTCTACGGGGACAATAATATTTCGCGCCGCCCAACTCGAACGCGAATGACGCGAGTTCCCTTTGTGCGTTCGGTGCAGACGTGGCCGCGCGTCGAAATTCGGTAATTACTTTCTGAATTGGCTCGAGCGAACTGGGAGTTGAATCTCCCGGTCTCTCACCTTACGTCCCTCGTCGTCTTTCTCTCTTTCTCGCCGCTCCCTCCGCCTCGTTCTCCGTTTCGCGTTTTTGTTGTTCTTCTTTCGCCCGCCGCAACCCTCCTCGCGTTCCCTCGCGAACATAATTACAGATTGCGAGTTCCAAGCCAATGGATGGTCAATGGCGAGCCGTACTCCGAGACCCCAACCTATCATCACAAGCCTCTGGTTAACTCAGACCTCGAGAAGAGGTTTCGAGGTTCCACGATATCCGCGCACTTTTCGAGGGGCTCCAACTACGCCATTTGTCTAACCCTCGATTCGAGGTGTCTTTCCATATCAATGGGAGACGATTCAATTACTTGCTAACCCTCACGCGTGCTTTCATTAGCGTTTTTAATTACGTAGTGAATACCTCGACACGCGCAGTAGACAGAATGTCATTGAAAAAAGGTTAATTTTTTAATATCTATCTTGAAAAAGAAGAGCAACCGCAATATCACGCATACATCCAGTAGTAAGGGTCGTTTTAGAAATAGCGAGTCAATTTTGGAGAAGCTCGGAGCAAGCTTCGAGCTTCACGTGATCACGGAGTATGTTAAGATAATTCGTAAGCAGCCGGCTGTCGCGTGAGACCGTGGAAATGGTCACTCGTTACGTGGGTAACGATCCCGACCGCGATGAGAAGTACTTGCCAAGTCTATAGCCACTCACGTGACGGTCTGGTGCACGTGTGGCCGGTCACACGCACGAGCGGCAACTTTCTGGAGGATAATCGCGCACGCCGAGGAGGCACTTGCCGCGGCATTCGACGCTCTTGAATAATTGATCGAAAATGTAGGACGAACTCGCGACTACGGCCGCAATAAAGTGGAACGTGCGGGTGTTGCACCGATGATGGTGAACGTGGTCGTCCGCCTTCGGGAACGTAAAAGCTGAGAGGTCAATGGACGAGTTAACGAACGTGATGCCGATGGGCTCTGATAGTTTTCGAATATGCGACAATCACATATGTGGAAAAGAGGGACAAAACGCTGCTGCTTTTGTTGATTTCGTATACGAATGGAAAATTTGATTCGTTTTATTGGTTGAGTTACAAACAGAAATTGAACTCATAAATATCACGTCACGAACCAACGAAATATTTTCATATAAAAAGTACCTTTTCATTATAAAATATGTATATGCTGTTCGATATACTAGTAGTAATTCAACTCTCTCTCTCTTTCTCTAAATCTCTCTGTTAAAATATCAATTTGGAAATTAAAGGAAAAAGCAGAAAAAAACAGAAAAAGTTTCTCTCTAAAAACAGTTTATAAATAACTATGTCTTTTTGATGATGTCTTCAAAGTTGCACGTAATAGAGTGATATTTTTAATAGAGTGCACCATTACGAGTTTGATTAATCTTATATATATTATCTTACATATAATCTTCAGATAATAATTGCGATTGTTAAAAACAAATAATAGTTTGACCACAATCGGACATTTGGTAAAAATGTTTTATTCTGTTTTACAGAGATCTTAGCCACAATCAGATCGCCACCATAGGACCGAAGACTCTCAGAGGAGTGTCCGCTCTCAGACATTTGTAAGTATCTTATCGGATGTGCTTGCCACAAAGACAGATTGTTCCGTAACAATCTCTCTCGAGGCCATTTAGTCACAGTCTAGTAGCCCATTATAAACTATGCTCAAGATGTTTTACATATGACAACTCTACTCACGTTACAGATAAAACTCTGATAAAATATATAAATTTCAGATAAAGCTTACAATTGGGTCGTTTACTGCAAAACTTTTTCTATATTACTTATCAGTTTAAGTAGTAAGATGTCATATGGTCAGACAATTGTAATAGTCAACGGATAGTTTACACACTTTCTCGAAGTATATGATTAATCTCTCTTGCATAATTATATCGTTTATATAAAAAGTTTATAAAAATTAAATATTTTATTTCTAAATTATAAAATCTTTTAAATATAAAAGTAACAAGTGACTAGACTTTCGGAATTAAATGTAAAAGTAAAAGGATTAAGGCTGCGAGAGTCAAACGCGGTTATTAGTGCGGGTCAATCTAATATACCAAAAGGTTTTAACCATCTTCAACGATGAGTTCTTTAAGGTGTGCTCCATTGTAGACTGAGGGAATTGGGAATCTAATTCATGTAAACGATTATCCAATTTGAGTCAACTAGAAAATTGACTACTGGCGTCCCGTCTAACGAACGAATTATGATATTTGTATCCTCAAGGAATCAAAGTTAAAATAAATATAAAAATATAAAATTTTACTTTTTCTCTTCTTGCAGATTACTTGACAACAATGTGCTGACCTGCGTGGACGAGGCGTCGATACGAGAACTGAAAGACTTGGAAATATTGTGAGCATACGAATTCGTTGAAATTATTTAGATTAGGCGTCTCGCGTTAAAGTTATCTCATGTTCGAGGGAATACAAACATTTCAAATCAATTATTCATTTTAGAATGTTGAACAACAACAAACTTGTAACGCTCGGCAAGGAGATGCTGAACGGCTTGTCGCATTTACGAACTTTGAAGCTTGCGGATAACGCTTTCGCTTGCGATTGCCATTTAGCATGGTTATCGCGCCATTTGAGGACTTATCCTCGCCTAGGGCAACATACACGATGCGCATCTCCGGCTCATCTCAAGGATCGCAATCTCGCCGATGTGCAGGTGAGTCTAAAGAATTATGTTATCATCCATTCAATTTTGCAAAACCCACAAACGTTTATTCCCCATCAGAATTTGTGCAAACAATTTACGTTAATACATAAATATGCTACATATAAATATATGTTCTCATCAACTATATGTGCGTGCGCGTATAATTTAGCTTGAAACTTTTACTATTTCAATCGTTACCCGAATATTGTATAGAAATTTTTGTAGAATATTTCTGTGGTCGTCAAGTGTGCCAATGTCGCTTTTTATTAGCCCAGCTCGTACTTGACACGACTTCTAAACTTATTGTTTGCAGGAGCACGAGTTCAAGTGTTCAGGCCTGGTTGAGAGAACGGGATCGGAATGCAGCGCTGAGCCCCAATGCCCGCATCCTTGTAAATGCGCTGATGGGATCGTCGATTGCAGAGAGAACTCCTTGACGAAAGTGCCAACCCACCTTCCCGAGGACACCACTGAATTGTAAGTAAAACTCGCGCCGTGTTCGCGCATTGTACCTGTTCTTCGCCTGAGATTTATTTCGCGCTCGCGAATGTTATCGATAACGCGGATTGACTGAGCTATAATGGCGTTGCTTTCTCAAATGCGCTTTATTTCGCCCCCGATTTGGAATTTACAACTGTTGCACGTGACACAGCAAATTAATAACAAATTAAATATTCTCTTCATTTAAATTTTTCTTTAAAATATTTTACTTCTAAATTCACAACTTTATCAATAATTTTTCCAAAATAATTTTGTGTAAAATTGATAGTCACAAATAATTGTTTGCAAGTAAAGTCCATCGAGATTAATAATATGTGTACACGCGCGAAACGGGACAAAATATATTTTCACATATGCGTGGAAAAGAGTAGCGAAACACGAAATAATACAAACGAACAGAAAGCGATCGATAGTCTCAGAACTTTGTGAAGCAGCGACCAACATAAATGTGCAGATTCGCTAACTTATTTGTGTAATTTGTTTTTCCGTAATTGCCTGCAGGCGGCTGGAACAGAACGGCATTACGGAAATTCCACCCAAGGCTTTCTCGCCATACAGAAAATTGCGAAGAATGTGAGTGATATTCGTGACTGACTTGCTCTAATATATACTATACACACAGATCGCTATTGCGCACGTCGACCGCAACGTTTAAACTTTTATATGTTTTACTCGTAGTGACCTGAGCAACAACCAGATAAAAAAGGTGGCGGCTGATGCTTTCCACGGATTGAAATCCCTCGAATCCCTGTACGTATATTTTTTTCCTTTACTGTTACAATTTAAATAACATTCTTCTCCATTTAATGACAACGCTAAATAAACATACATTTTGTCGCAGAGTTCTATACGGCAACAAAATCACTGAGCTGCCAGCTGGTCTTTTCCAAGGCCTGACAAATTTGCAGTTATTGTGAGTAGATAAGAAAAGAAGACTATCAATTTAACGAACGAAACTAAAACTGAAACGAATAATTGCATGGAAATCAGTCTTATTAAAGTTAATAAATTGAAATAGGTATAGGTTTTTTTTATTGCATGATGCGAGGTCGACTTGAAGAAGGCGGGAATTAATAATTCATATTAGAGAACCACTGAAGAAAATGTTTTTATTCATGGCTTCACGTATTGTTCTCGCTTTCCCGTGAAGCATCGCAACGAGGCAACTGTTGGAAATTATGGCGAAACTTATTGTTTCAGGTTACTGAATGCCAATGAGATATCATGCATACGAACAGACCTGTTCAAAGACTTAACCAGTCTCACCTTGCTATCTTTGTACGACAACAATATACGTTCGTTAGCTAATGGGACTTTCGCCAACCTGCGGAGCATCAAAACGCTGTTCGTATTGTTAATACAAAAATTCTTACAAACATTTCCTAACTTGCGCGACTGTGTAAAAAAGTTGTTTGTCATTGAAATAATTAGCGAAGAAGATATTTGAAGTATCTCCAGCCAAGTACCTTTGATTCTTTTTCGCAGACACTTGGCGAGGAATCCGTTCATCTGCGATTGCAATCTACGCTGGCTGAGCGCGTATCTTCACGCGCATCCAATAGAGACATCCGGCGCTAAATGCGAAACGCCAAAAAGAGCACAGAAACGGAAGATCGATTCGATGCGGGACGACAAGTTCAAATGTAAGGGTAAGCACGATTCGACTTTTCCGGTATATCTCTTCTTAACACTTCGGCAGAGTAATGTACAGGTCGGTAGTCTGTGTGGAGGAAAATATATTGCACGATGAATGTAAATAGGCCCCTATTATCGCTGACTTGCATTTACATTTTCACGACATCTTCAAATCTTTGCATTATCATACAAGCATTTACATTCATATTCACATCTGTGCGAAATTAATCATTTACCCTTGCATCAATACAATTTGGAGATATATCATCCGTCTCATCTCGGCTCTTAAAATCGATAGTGGCGCTTACCTTACGCGTGAAAGGTAAGAGAAAGCGAACGAGTAGAATGAATTAATATTGGTTTTTTTTCCGCTAAGAAAGGATATATCGAAAGCCGATGCCAAGCCATTGAAATTGATCGATCGTGTCACTTTATTATCAATCACGTGTGATGGCACACGACGTGCCACATCCGAACCGATCCACGGTTTCCATTTTCACTCAATGTGAAATCACCCACCATCGTTCCCGTTGCTTCCAATGCTTCTTGCATCGCATATCCAGACACGTACGTCTTCTCCTTTCTCTCTGTCTCGATTCTTCTTCGTTCTTGTCGACACGTCCGGAACAGGTGACCAGACGATCTATATAGATGCTCTCGCACGGTAGGATAAATGCTGGTCACTTTGCCGGGCGCATGTAATTGCCGATGGATGTATCTTGCTAACCGTAATACCACCCGGTGTGCATTAATGTCAGCCGATGTTATTATGTACACGCGCTTGCAAACTCGTTCGTGCTCGCATAATGATAATCATTTATCGAAACGAAGCTGCATACAAAACGATTTACGTAGATTGACGTGCTCTAAAAGGATGTATTTTTGGGGGAAATTTTATCTTTCTATCGACATACGAAATTGCCCTTAAAATTTTCACGAGAGAAAAGTGAGAGGAAGTATTTCAGTTATTCACTTTAAATTGTAGGAAATTATTTAAAAGTGTTTTCTAGCTATACGTTTTAATAATATCGGAGCAAATTTATATTTTCTATCATTAAAAGTGGTTCTTCGACGAATATCTCGTACTTTATACGGACGTATGATACATTCATCGCGCGCTTATTATATCACAGTCCGTAAATTTTGATATGCGACTTCCGGAATTGCAAGAATTCTATGTCTCTGTTATTTTCATCGCGCGGTCGTTTGCATTTGCCCGGTCTTTTTGCGACTTCGTAATTCCAGAGAAATTTATTGCAGATGTACGAATGTTCCCTCTGTAGAATGCATCTTTTACGACACATTTTTTTGCGGAGCGATCCGTGTTTGCCGTATCCGTTTGAGAATAATACCCAGAAGTCTCTAACCTTCCTTTATGCAGCCTCAAGTTTCACCCGGATGCACTCTCCTTGTACGCCATGCTATTCCGAAAAGCGCGTACGTGTACACGCGGTCGTGCAGTAGGTGAGATGCAAAAACCCAACAGAACCGCGTAACATTTTGCTTGTTAACATCTTGAATACCAAATAGTCGCGCAGGCAGATTTTATACAAATAAAGAAAAAGTTCCTCCGACTATCTCGCGGCTATGTTAATGCACGCTTTAAAAAGAAACAAATTTACCTTCTTTGCATAATAAAACGGCATAAGTTACTGGCATACATTATAAAGCTTATTTGAAAATCCATATTGTTAAACATTGAAGACTTTTACTCCGAGCAATATGCGCGATATGCAAAATATGCACAGTGATTTATTTGCCGATTTTCTCCAAGGGAGAAATAAGGGCAGCAGCGCGTATGCAATTAATCTACTGAAACGCAGCAATATTCGCTCCTTGCGACTTATCTCACACACGTTTGCACAAGACTCAATTCGGAGTTAAGAAAAATAAACATTTCGATAGCGCACATGTGCACCTATGCCGGTATAAGTGCGCGCATAACTGCTACATGTAGTTTCGCAAACAGGAACTTACGTCGCGAGCGTTAAACTCGTAGACAACTTTCGCAACTTGCGCCCCCGGTCACGGCAAAAATTTACACGATACCCTTGCTTCTGCATTACGAAGGATTTCGCGAGAATTAGGAGGAGAGTGCTTCTAGTTTTCGTAGAAGGAAACAAATGTTGCTCCTTAAGCGGCACTTCCATCCGAGTACGTAAGAGTATTGGCGAAGCGGAAGGTGAAAGAGACAACGGAGAATAATCGATCAATTTTAACTTTGTTTACAGAACACGCAAATTTGTTTTTGTCCCTTTTTTTCTATCGATCTCTTTCGTTTTATTATTTGCCTCGAGCAAAACTCTTGCCAGTTTTATATATTCATATAAAATATAAATATTGTACAAAGGTGTCGTGTAGTTCAGTGGGATATCCGTTTTCCATCTTTTATTCGTTGCAGTCCCCTTCGATACAAAAACTAATGAATATTTTTTTTAATCGACGTTACCTGCAACAGCTGTTAATATGCAGTTTTATTTATTTGTGAAAACATGTGGCGGTAAAGGGAGAAATGAGCGCGAGCGCATCGGCGAAAAAGAGAAGAAAAGAAATCATCTCTTGACGACGCGACGTTTAATTTTCTCGCATTCTTCTCTTTGACCCCGACGATCGGCGGGTGAAAACCCGTTATTGTATTTCGACCATCGCGGAGAAAACGCGCGGTTGCTATGCGAGATGCTGGCCGGCATTATATTGTACATGTTGCAATGTGTATCGCCGATATAATTACGTATGCGTACATCACACCCGGCAATTTGTAATGTGGTGTATAATACGATGATAAATCATTTCTGCCGTAGCCGCACTCATACATAAACATATTTAGCCCTCAACACTAACGCACGACGTTAAACACTCGATTAACGTGCAAGTACATACGGCATCGCGCGTACGGGCGGTTTCGTTTAACGATGCCATTAATTACACTGTTCATTATCAAAATTTATCGTTAATGAATCGACGTCATCATCATCATCATTACGTTTACTGTATAATTACATTTGACCGACGTAATTTTCACGAAGAAACGCAGCAATTCACTTGTGGCCGGGACATGACACGACCGCTCTGCGCACGACGTGCATACATTATCCCCGTCGGAGCGGAGTCGCGATCGAGTGCGGAAGTGTTGCTCAGGCGCGATTGTTAAAATTCGTCTCCACCCAGAAATTTTGTCCGCAGGTGACGAGGAGCTGTTAACGAAAAGGGCCGGCGAGTGCATTCTGCCTGGCGCTTGCCCGGCGCCGTGCACATGCAACGGCGCGACGGTCGATTGCTCCAACAAGAGATTAACTGCGATACCAAAAGACTTGCCGCTTTACACGTCCACTTTGTAAGTATACTTCTCTTAAATGGCGTGTTAAACCGCCACGCGTGAAATCCGCGAGAAAGAACGCGCGCTGTTAATTTCAACGCTAATCACCGATGCTATCAGAGTCTTGTCGGATAAGCCCGGTAAACTTTTCCACTGTTGATGAGTAAATCACATCGATAACGGGGAAAAAAAACTTGACGGGCGAAAGACGTGGCTTCCGTTAGACAGCTTCCTCTAACAATATTTTACTTGTCCGCGTTATATCGCTGTTGTAAGCGACGTGCGTGGGCGTGCAAAATGAGAAAACCAAAGGCAAACTCAATTTATGTCAAACAGGATGTAGCAGCATCCGCAATATATTTCGCGCAGTTACGTTTGTCACGCGCTTGCACCGCGAACATTTTTAGTGCCTCCCAAAATACTGTCTGACACTGAGCCGATGAAGAGGTAGTCGATCTAAAATAAGGAAATCGCCCCCACCAAAATGCTTGAGCTCTCGAATATTCAGGTATTAAACAATAGCGTTTACCTTTGCCGGGCGGTACACACCGCCTCTCGTAATTAAAAATATAACAAGGAGTTTTTAATAAATAATGGGTAATAATTATACGCTACAACATTTAGTATTAATTACGCTACACCATCAATAATAATGTTGGCAAGTTGCAAAATCATTTATTCATCTAAATAATGACGTTACATCTATGTATATATACAATAGGTATATTAAGTCATAATATTAGCAATATTAAGGAATGAGATTATGAAAATTGATATCGGTAAATACAGTAACAATATCGCGCATTAGCGCGAGTCATAATTATGTCTAATAGTCTACTAGCGTGATAAACATAGGCACAATTTAATAACCGTTAGTAAGTGAATTGCAGAGCAATTTGTAAAACAATGTAAATGCCAAAGATGATGAGTCAAAAAATTGAAAAAGGACCGATTAAATTGCCCGTATAATCGCAAGTAACGATGGAAGAAGATATAAAGTTCATTGATCCGTCACGAACGGGTGTGTCGTTTTGCAATTAGTTACGTTACTGATTTATAACTGTTTTGCAATTAGTTTAATCTAACGTAACCAAATAACTTTCTGGATTATTATTACTTTTCGATGAAAAAGTGTTCGTTTTAAATTATCGAGTATCGGACAAGCCGATCGATTGGCCGGTACGGTCCAGGCGAGCGGTTAGGATGAATATCATTCGTCTGTAGAGAATTCTCGTCGCTCCGTTCGAATATTAATTCGATCGTTGAACCAGATAATCACCTGATTAAATCGTGGAGTGCGATGGGAAAAGAACAATGAAGATTGGACCATTATTCGCAGTAAATTACGGATACGGTCCGTTGGATCGGCGCTTTGTGAAAAAAATTAATTTTTCGATACCATTGAATAATCAATACATCAGCTCTTACAAAGAGATCTATATGCGCAAGAAATTAATGTTTTCCTAATGCACGTAGTTCTTTCAGCTTTTGCCTTTGCGATCTTATTCGTATTTTATTTTAGTAAAATTTCGTGCCAGTAGTACACATACATTGTATATATTGACGTAAACTTGGCCTATTCTTTTGAAATCAAGTCTTCTTTTTGAGCTTAAGAATGGTCTATTTACAAATAAAATAGCAGACGGTTATAAACAATTGCTACAACAATTTGTTATTGTATTTTATTTCATGCGCAAAACATACATTTTTACTCTCTGACATATTCCAGGTTAATAGGTTTATCTGAATGTTAGAGCGTATTAATTACGAACAAAGCCAAACAATCAACTGCAAGTTACACTACTGCTCGATATATATCGTACAAACATTCTGCAACGCACCAATTTCTGTACGAGAGTTATTCCAGCGCGCAATTCGCAAAATTTATCGAACGGCGCATTGTTATAACGCGGTAGAGAATAAATTGCTCGGCGGGTAGTCGAAAACAAGTGATGGAGTAACGAACGGAAAGTACCAATTTCGCCCTTTTTTTTTTACGTTGTCGAGTAACAAACTGACCATACATACATGTCACGAACGTGCATGCGTGCTTCGATGGCACGGCATTCGTGACTCCGTTCTACATGCCACCCTTTCCGCTTGTATGTTCGCGCCAGATTGTTGAGCAACAATGAACTGGACAAGATCAAAGCGGACGGCCTTTTTGAGAAGCTGCCGGAGCTGCAGCATCTGGATCTTAGGAAGAATAAAATCTCCCGCATCGAGGCGTCCGCCTTTCAAGGGGCCCACAACCTCACCGACCTGTAAGTCACAACGCAAGTTTCGAATTATATCGCTTTCGTAGCGCAGCACAACCTGCTTTTTCTTTGCGACATTGTCGTCGCCGTCGTTGTCTTCCCGGAAAACTTCGCCTTTGCCGGCACAATAGAAGCCATTCTCGAAGTACTGTTGTGTAACGTCAGGATTGTTTTCTTTGCGCGGCCTCCCAGTCGATATTTCCAACTTTAAAGAATCTCTCGGGGGAATTTTCGGAGGCTGCATTGTCGCCGGGGACAATTATTAGAACAACGCCGGTGGTTTTTTGTAAAAAAAGTCTCGAGCGATATAGTACAATTGCTTGATTGAAGCAATTTCCAAATTCAATTACAGATACATTAATTTTTACTTGAATATTATAATTATTAGAAATTATGAATACTTTATGAAGTATTTACATAACTGCTATCATTATATAGTTTATCTGTTTTATAAAAATATAGCGTATTACACCGTAACAAATTAGACGTACAGAAACTGAATGTGCAATACCATTTTTATTGTGTGCGATTTATAATCCAATACACGAGTCATAAATTCTTTATAGTTAATAGCTATATTTTTAAGGCGCTTCGACGCCGAAGAACGAGCTTTCGGGCGTTATGTCCGGAATTTAAAGAATATAAAAACGTTATGCCGTGTGGTACCACGTTCAAAACGTGCTTTCGTGATGTTCATAACGTTTGTACGCTCGTTGGCTCGAGGAATGATATTTATCGACTCGTAAAAAGTGACGGCGAATTGTAACGCGACGCAACTTAGCGCGCAATCTCTTGCCATTACGTCGTGCGCCTCGTTTCACGATATGACGAGCTTTCTTTTCGCAGACTTTTGTCCGAGAATAGGCTGCGAGAGGTGCACAACAAGATGTTCGCCGGCCTGCCGAGCCTTAAAACACTGTAAGTACCTCATTGGGCAAACGTACCATCAGCGTTGTTAAAACGCTATCGTGGCGGTAAACGATTACTCGCATAATTCACTTTGCGCAGGAATCTCCATGGTAATTCCATTACATGCGTTATGCCTGGATCGTTCGACGGAATGCCGCACATACGCGCCATGTAAGTTCGCTACTAATCAACGAGTTAAATTGCAACAAGATTATCGCTGCATACTCTGGGGAAAAAAAAGACGGTTAGCAACCCATTTTGGGGCCCACGATTAGTAATCAAATTATTTGGATTGTTCGTAACTCTAATCTTTTACCCCGCGTAACTAAAAATCCCAATTAGCTATTCTATGTATACCCAAGATATTAAAGTAATACTAATCAATTCTCTCAATTAGTTGTGTCGATATTCAGTAACGCAAAGATAATTTTCACTTAAAAGTCACTAACCAAAATTTTAAGTTGCTTTACTACAAAAAAAAACGGTCAAAAGTTTTCCCAGAGTAGAGTTGCGAAGAATCCAAATAATTCGATTACTAATTGCGGACTTCAAAATGGATTGCTGTCTTTTCTTTCCAGAGTAGAAATTGTTATCTCTAGATTCTCTTCTATCTCTCTTTCCATCACATTCTTTTCCTCTTGATTATCTTTTGTGAAAAATGCAAGCAGTCGTATGGCCGGGTGATTTTATGCTGTTGTATCTCTAAAATAATTACATATCAGCTATAATAATCAGTGACTAATCTTCGTGTTACTACCTCCTTATTGTTGCCGTATCGTTTGATATATTTTTCGGTATCTGCAGCAACATGCAAGGTAACCCGCTATCGTGCAACTGCTATCTCGCGTGGTTCGCTGGATGGCTGAGGAAACGAGATATAGCCGGAATCACTGGCCGTTGTCACGATCCACCGCGATTAAAGGATGCCGTCATCAAGGACATTCCGCACCACGAATTCAAATGCAACAGTGCGTTCAATGCATTATTGTAGAATTGATTTTAGTCACCTGTAGCGTCCATAGATATATCTTACTCTCGCAATTTGTATCATTGCGTTTTGCGGTTGATCGCTATGAATTCAAAATAGAGTACAAATATATCCCCGTGAAATTGTTAGTAGCTTTGCATGCAAACTGACTCGCGCGCACGCATACAAAATCGAAATCAATGTAACATATTAATTAAATCTGCGAATCTGCGAATAACGCGCGTTGCGTGCCTTCAATTTACATTTGTCGTCCCTGCGCCGCGCAAAAATTTCACGAATAAGCTGCCTTTGCCGCGCGTCTTTATTTCGCTCTCGACAAAATAATATCCGCCATCTGAATTGCAAATCCTGTTAACGATCCACCAACTGTTTTACGCCCATCAGACGACAGCGTGGGTTGCCTAGGTGACGATTACTGCCCGCCTCAATGTAATTGCGCGGGTTCGGTGGTGAGATGTTCGAGGTCTCAGCTTACAGAGATTCCACGCGGGATTCCACCGGAAACCACCGAGCTGTATTTGGACGTGAACGACATCAAGACGATCCAGCCGGAGAGGCTGAACCACCTGAGGATTCTCACCAGACTGTAAATAAAACACGCGTGCACCTTGTCGTATATCTTTCAAGCGGCTTTCGCCGTGTTTAACGTCCGCTTCGTTTTCAGGGATCTGAGCAACAACCAGATCGGAATGCTGTCCAACGATACCTTTAGGAATCTCACCAAGCTGTCGCACCTGTAAGTCGAACATTCATTCCGTTACCCCGTGAGTGCTCGGGTGAGACTCGCGGAACCGTTTATGCAATGTACGAATCTCTTTTGCAGAATCATCAGTTACAACAAGCTACAGTGTGTGCAACGAAATGCTCTCGCGGGACTGAAGAACCTGCGAATAATGTGAGTCACGTGTGCAAATACTTGACTAACGTTATCATCGTGACATGCCTCTTTTATTGCCGCGAAAAAAAATCCACTCCCGCGCTTTTGTGTTCGCCATTCACACGGCGATCGGCGATCGTTCGACACTCAACATTTTACGCTGCTAAGCCGAAGGCATTTAACTATCGTAATCGTAAAATTAATCGGTCGCTTGTTGAACGAAAATAATGTATGATATATGAAAAACCAAATTAAATTTTTACGTTGAGTGAATTAAGTAGCGGTACAATGAAATGTTAATTGCAAATGAAGATATTAAAATAGAATTTCACGACGCCGATATTCAGGGATTGTAAATTCTTCGTCGATGTTTGAGCTTTCTTCTGACCGAGGAAATTTAAATAATGAATGAGCGGTTTTCTATGCCGATAAAAGTATGCGCTGTAATTCCATTGCCTTTCTCAGTTCGCTGCACGGTAACGACATATCGGTCATCCCAGAGGGAGCGTTCGAGGACCTCAAGTCCATAACACATCTGTGAGTATCACTCTGTTCGTAAATCACACGCACTCGATTTTCGATAGCAGTCATTTATCGATCACGATGTTTACAGTGCCCTGGGGTCCAACCCGCTCTACTGCGATTGTAGCATGCGGTGGCTGGCCGACTGGGTGAAGAAAGATTATGTGGAGCCTGGCATAGCCAGGTGCATGGAGCCTCCTGCGATGAGAGACAAATTGCTTTTGACGACACCGGCTAGTGCCTTTCAATGCAAAAGTAAATATCTCATGAGCGTATATCTCGATTGCGGGCAGAATGGCCAAGAGTCTCCGTCTGCCGCTAAGTAAATTGTTACCCGCGATTCGTGCGACAATAACATGGGACCGTGCGGTCGTCTACCTGCGGTATATCCGCAATTCTCAGTTCAATTCTGACTCCCACTTAGATATTCATTAACATTCATTAGTATCGCTCAGTGGAATATTGTGGAATCGGGAACGCGGATCATTATCCGGCTTGGTAACGACTTGGCTGTAAAACGGGTCATTGAACATCGATTTTCCATTAGACGTGAAAAGTATAATACTTTTTCTTTCTTTTTAACGACGTTTGGTAACGCGGCCTCTCGTAAGAAGCAGCAGAAAGAATTCCTCCGGTATGCTTGGCCATTACTGATCCGCAATCGCATACTGGTTGTCGCACGTGACGGTGTTTTTGATTTTTCGTAGTACAGCGCGACGCAGTCTGTTTAGTTCGTGGTTTTTTGGCCCAGCATCACGGTAGGGTACTAAAATTGCTCATTAATCGTAGACCTTTCTTCCGCGCAGCCAAGCAGCAGCCAGCCGAAGTCTTGGCCAAGTGCGACCTGTGTTACACCTCGCCATGCGAAAACGGAGGATTTTGCGAGGCGCTTCCGGACCGGCAGTTCCGTTGCAAGTGCACGCCAGGATATCACGGGGACCGGTGTCAGCATAAAATTGACGCGTGCTATGGAAATCCTTGCAGGAACTCCGGAACTTGCAAAGTACTGGAGGAAGGAAGATTCAGGTACTTACTGAACGCGATAGCCTTGATCAGAGTAGTGCCTCGTCGGGCTGACTTTAAAGTTGCTCGTTCAGTTGGAACCCGTAGAACATTTGCATCGTGTCGTATACATATAGACAAAACTTTTGCCAACTTTTGCAGCTTCATCTATCTTTCTTACGTCAGTCTCTTGTCTGAATTTTCGCGAATTTTCTTTAAATAACGCAGTACATTTACGAATGCGCGACCAAACGCATAATTTCAATGAGCCGATCAATGTTTTAACTACGTTGGTTTGATTCCTGTCTTAACCCTTTCATGATTGGATTCTTTTTGTTTATTTTTATATTTTTAAGTGGGATACTAGCATCCCAAGGAATCAGAGAGGCAAAGGAAGTAAGTGGGACTCGTATGTCCCAGTAATCATGAAAGTTTTAAGAGAGAAGGAATTGTGACCAAGTTAATAACAATAGTGCGCTAATTACAGGATCTTTCGTATATAAAATTATATAAAAATTTATATTTTTAAAACATCTCGTGCTCATTGAAAGCGAAAATGTTATGTCGAATGAAATATATAGATCGATATAATTATGCAATTACATAATTAAGAAGCACTGATCCTGTTATTTAACTGTATCGAAAATGTTATATAGGTAGGATCTGCACGTTGTCAAAATTATGTCATGCAGTCCTTTGAAATATGTTCGTTTGGACATCAAAGTAGATGTAAATATGCACGATGTAGGATGCTTTCGTATAAACGAATAGAACGTTGCATGTCAAAGCTCGAATTTGACAATGAATTCGGTACTCGGTAAAAAGATCGTCTCTGAGTTGCCATGCTATTTGGATAATTCCAACGCGCCGAGCTGCTTAAAGTGGCGCCCGAAATGGAACATGGTCGGTGCGTTCGTCAAATTCTAGCTCTCAACACGTAATAAACGGGACCCTCTGCACGTGAGCCCCGAGGAGTGACGACTGCAAGCTATAAACTGCCGACGGCGCTGTCAATAACCTGCTCATAACAGAGAGGCTGTTCCGATTATCGAAAAATCGAAGAGCCGAATTTATGCGCCGGTTATTTACGCCAAGCGTGTATACTTGAGATCGATATCACACACTTGCCTATGATTCATATATTTCTAACAATAAATCCTCTACGAGGTTTATCTCTGTCTTCGTTGCTTGTATATTAGAGACAATATATTTCAAAATTATTAATAATAATAAATAAATTAAATTTAGTTTAAAGTAAACCGAAGTTAATACAAGCTCTCCGGAATTTTGTTTCTACTGTTCCAATCGAATAAATGATAGAAGCATTCAATTGTTAAATTTAACGTGCTAAACGCACGGAGCAAAAAATAAGGGAGAGAAACAGTATCGGCGGTTTATCGCCCGCAGTAGGGTACCTTTGGCGGATCTACCGCGATCGCATGTCGGGCTCAATGTCTCGATTGACGTTCAGTCGGTGTGTGACAGTTGCGACTGCGCCCCCGGGTACAAGGGACTTCGATGTGAGAGCAACGTCGACGACTGTGCCAACAACAGGTGCGCTAACAACGCAACCTGCGTCGACCTCGTACAAGCCTATCGATGCGACTGCGCCCCAGGATTCATGGGAGAATACTGCGAGGAGAAGATACCCTTCTGCACAAAGGGTCACGACCCCTGCGAGAACGGAGGCCGATGCGTCGACCATAAGACCCACTACAGCTGCGAATGCCCAATCGGCTTCACCGGCCTCAATTGTTCCACAAACCTGGATGATTGTGTCGATCATATGTGCCAGGTACGTCTTTCCTTAGTTGCATTCTGCCGATCGCCACGTATTTATTTATTATTTATTTATTTATTTATTTATTTCTTCCGGGCAAAATCACGCGTTGCACCAGACACGGTGTTCTCGGTGTTTGTGTATAGCGAAGCTATCGTTCATAGCAAACATAGTAGATACTTGCTGTAACACACGCTTGGTCGGAATAGTATATCGATCTTATAGATTCCTCTGCCTTATTACGTTGAACAAATGGTTGGCGAATGTAATTTCGTTTACGGGTTATAAATCTTTGGCTTTAAGATAATACGCGTGACAGAAGTCGACAAAGTAAATCTTACAGCCGGTGTATCTCTACTAATGTTTAACGACTGTTACGAAATACTGAAGAATTTGATTATTTAACATCATTTCTGTACATTGGTTTTCTTTACTCGTGCGCGATGTTAATTAAAGCGATATTAATTATCTTCAGATTTTAATAATGAACCCTGCATCGCGATAAGGATTTTCATAATATGCTTTTAAATTCTATGCACTAGCATTTATAAATACGCAACATCTACGGCGCTGTTGTTAAGTGTAAAATTCATTAAAATAAGTAATTACGCAGTTAGTGTAGAAGTCGCGTGCACAGGCGCACCTATCTACATGAGGTCGATGATATCTGTTTCATTTACATCATATCGTAGAAATTTATTTTCCCATATCGCTCGCGGTTGCGACAATCGTAATTAATTTCTCGCTACCGCATTAACAGCTCCCCTTTACACGCGTAGCAGTTGTAACAATATCACGTCTCGTCGTTTTGGGAATATCCTAATTTTGATAACGTTTTACAATTACTACTTTTGAATTGCGCTGATCGACGGATTCAACGCGCGGATATGTCTCTTTGCATTTAATTTCAGAAAGTATTTCTCAGTTGAATCACTTAACGTAGTATCGATTTAATTCGGCACAGTATCAACATGAAAAGTCAAACTCAGCGACATAACTTGACTTGCATGAGAGCCAAACTTTTATTTGACTATCGACTCTTAAATAGAACTCCAACTCAGGCAGATATGATCTTCCGAGAGGCGGAAACTTTACAGTCGCGAAGAGCTACGACCCAGAAGCAAAGTTGGCGTATGAAATTTTACGCCAAGATTCTTCCTCGCGGTGTTATAACGTCGGCCAAATTTCATTTGAGTGTTTGCGCGGAGTACAGAAAGCTCGTGTGGAGTTTTCGGCTTTGTGATGCTGGCTCTAAAGCCACGATAGTATATCACGTTCCAAGCTTTCTAAGCTTCCATGAATGGCGCGGAATTGACCTACAGAGAGGCTGTCTTCCTATAAATCTTCCATTTCCATACACCGAGCACATATTCTATACGTAGTTAAAATATCTGAATACTGATACTTTGCATTTCAAGCATTAATTAACCGGTGGACTTGTCACGCTACATTTTTAGTTATCTTCATTATAATAATCATGATTAATGCATTTAAATCGTATATTAAATGCGTTAAATATTCCGAATTGCTTTCATTGGTACGAGCAGAATTCTGGAGCAACCATTGATAAGATTAGCACGTGTAACTCGCAGGGGGGATATATTATTGCACATATGTGACTTAAGCCCCAGAATACATGGCCTTTAGTTTGAGACTCTAGACCAGGCATGTGAAACTGGCGGACCGCCCGATGATTTGTAACCCTCTGCTAGTAGTTAGTTGCATCCAGTTTGTGCGCGTTCCTATCTTATCCGTAAACTTACTGGTTGACATTAATTAGACGGCTACATTAGAAATGTAACGACATCAAAATTATCCGGTTTAACTTCACTTTCGTAACGTATCACTTTCCATGTAACAATTCTCGAAAATTTCGTGGATCTTAATTGATTCTTTTTTATTTGCTCGCTGTAATACAATACTAGTATAATCTCCTTAAAAGTATGTCAAACATTTCTCAACGAGAATCTTCTCTTGAGAATGTAAATACATGCCAAAGGCTTCTTTATTATTAACGTTGTTTTTTCTCACTCTTGATCTAAAACTTTGATTGGCAAACACCTTTGCGAATCTTCTCTTGAGAGTGTAAATACATGTCAAAAACTTCTTTATTATTAAAATTGTTTTTTTTCACTCTCGATTTAAAATTTTGATTGGCAAACACCTTTGCGAATTGTAATTCGTTTATTTCGCAGAACGGTGCTACTTGCATCGACGGCATAAACAATTATGAGTGTAAGTGCGCGGCGGATTATACAGGGAGATACTGCGAGGCTGCACCCTCGACAGCCATGCTGTATCCACAGACAAGTCCGTGTGCCCACCACGACTGTCAGCACGGTGCCTGCTTCCAGCCCGCTCCCGCCTCCGCCGCGGACTATCTTTGCCAGTGCCATCCCGGCTATACCGGTAAGTAAAAACGCTTGGAAGCAATCATTTTCTTCCGTTAATTTTTAGTAATCATTTGAAGACATCTCGCAATTTGATTTCAAATTTTCTGAATTTTCTTATCATCTCCTGCGTGACGTGCGAGGATAAGCTAATTTAACACGGCGCGGCCACTTATCATTTCAGGAAAACGATGCGAGTACCTGACGAGTCTGAGCTTCGTGGACAATAGCTCGCTGGTCGAGCTAGAACCGCTACGCACGAGGCCCGAGGCGAACGTGACCATCATATTCACGACCACGCAGGAAAACGGGGTTCTTCTCTACGACGGGCAAAGCGACGGGCACATCGCCGTCGAGCTCTTTAATGGGCGGGTCAGGGTTTCGTATGACGTGGGTAATTATCCTACCTCGACGATGTACAGCTACGAGATGGTGGCCGACGGCAAGCCTCACATGGCGGAGCTTCTGGCGATCAAGAAAAATTTCACAATGAGGGTCGACCGAGGACCCGCCAGAAGCATCATCAACGAGGGTCCGAAGGAGTATCTCAAGCTTGTCACGCCGATGTTCGTCGGTGGCGTAGCGCCGGAAGTTGCTAAAGTCGCATTTACCGAGTTTCACCTTAGAAATACTACGAGCTTCCAGGGTAAGTTTCTCTCACTGAGAAATATCGTTAACATTAATTGACATTCTTGTTTTATTTTTATAGTTTTATTAAGTCGTCATCGACGCGGAGAAGTATCGCGATTATGAAAAATAGAGCAGTTTTATTAAAATAGCGAGGAAACTGAATTTTACAGCGATGTGTTCTATCGCAGCGTAAGAAGACAAATTGAATATTCTTCATTTAAATTGGCTATTTTAAATGATAGGTTTTATCACGTAATTATTAGCCTTAACTTACGTTTGGCTAATTATAAAAGCTGTCATAATAATGTTATAACGAAACCGTTCGGTTGGAAATTTCAAAGATTTCACGGATGATTTGTGCTCTCCACCAGTGCTAGTTCCAACACCGATACTCTGCGGTTCCTCTGGGAAACGATAGTTGTCGCAAACTCGGAATATCAGCCGCAAATTTGCAACTTGCGGAGACCTCATTTAATATTCGGTTACATTTTTGATGTCCCCCGGCGCAATACTGATTTACTACGTTTGCATATAGTGTACGAAATAATATGTAGCACGGTGTGCAACCGAGAGAAACTAGATTTGAAAAGTTTCGCGACAATGCAACACGCGAAAATTCGTGATCGGACTGCATTATGCAGTATAATTTGTATCCCGGTTCTATGTGTTGCAAGATAGGAAAGCTATTTTGACAGTGAAAGTATTGTATCTATATCATCGACGTCAATCACTCAAGTTGCGCGTAACGCAGCCACTTATGAGAATTTATGCAGGCGCGAATGCATACTCGCGCTGCTTACGCCCTTACTCAATTGCATTGTAACGTTCGGTACACATTCCCATGCCACTCTTTATATAGGATAGAGCAAAAGTTTCTTCCTTGCCAGATCCATTAAAAGTTTCTTTGCTTTATCTCAGGCTGCATCTCCGAGATGTGGATCAATCATAAGTTGGTAGACTTCAGCAACGCCGCAAAGATGCATCGCGTTACTCCCGGATGTGCTACTAGCGAGGAGGAGGCCGACGAAGCGAGAGATATTGTTGAAGCTGAGGGAATTAACAATGGTGGCAGTAACGAGGAGCCCATGCCGCAAGAGCACATACCTCACGAACGCTCTGGTATGTTAATGTCTGTAATTGCTGTTTATGCAGTGCTAACTTAACGTATTAAGTTAAGAATCGTTCACGCTTGAATTTAAATTAATAAAATAAAAATACTCGGAGCCATTTACGAATATGAATTTTTAGGAGAGTTTTATCTTATCTACTCAACAATTAATTACAATTATAATTGAGTTTAAATTAATAAAATTAAAATACTTCAAGCCACTTGCGGATAACATGGATCTTTATGAAAGTTTTATCTTATCTGCTCAACAATTAATTACAATTATAATTAACATGAAATATTAAATAACATAATGACTCGCGTTTATGAACTTACGTTCAATTGTATATTGTATTGTGTAAGAGAAATCGCACATTAAATTAAAAAGCGAGAAAAAGTAATCCTGTTTTAAATTCAAATGTGTATTTAATATACTCTTGATGAAAAATATGTATTAATTATAGATGTTATCATGTCGGTAACTGGACTGGTGCCTTCGCATGCATGTATCGGACATGAATGCAAAAAGGGATCTCAATGCATACCGTCGCCGTATGGCAACGGCTATTCTTGCCGATGTCAAACTGGCTGGCAAGGACGATACTGCGAGAAAGGTGATTTTCTTCTTTCAATATTCGTATGCTTCTGCACAGAGATATGTTTTATGATTATATTTTTATTGCAAAATACTTTTCTCGAGACAACAAAATAAAAACTGTAACCGCAACTAAATACTTTTATAAAGTAACTTTCCCAACCACGCATATGTATATCTATGTATTTATGTAATTCATAGTGTCTTGCGCGTTTGCTCGATCGCTCTCGGTAAAAAGATTAACATTAATGTCGCAGCACCGACTTGTCGCAAGGAGCATACCAGGGAGTACTATAGCGAGAATGGATGTCGGAGTCGACGACCCGTGAAGCTTGCTAAATGTTGGGGAAGCTGCGGTAATTCCTGCTGTTTACCGCGGAAGACTAAGCGACGCAAGGTACATAACATAACTGTATATCGATTGGGACTCGCGACTGATCCGGAACAATGTGTTGATTCAATTTTACAATTTTCAATTGTCCGGGAATATTTCTCCCCGCGTGACGTTAAATTTCGGAGTAAACCAATATCGCGTCAACATTTACATATTATGAGAGTCTCTGCCCGTATTGACAGCGCACGGGGCGATAAATATCGGAGCCCGTGCCGCTCTTGTTCTTGCTAATTGGCGTTAAATTTCGTGTCAGTCATGACGATCGGACGAAGCAAGATGAACTATTTCATCTTCCAACGCGATCGATCGCGCATGAATAGGTCGAAGCAGCCGCGTTAATTACCGCAATTATGTTTATTAAGGCGACTTCTACTCCCGTTATTTACCTATAACGATCGGCCATTATAAATATTCGTGTATTAATTTCAGGTCCGATTAATTTGCGCGGACGGCATGCGGTACACCAAGGACGTTGACCTGGTGCGTAAGTGTACGTGTACTCGCAAATGTTACTAGCCAGTCGACCCAGCAACGCGGCCCGAGTCTCGTTGGCGCACGTCGAGACGTAAAACGAGACCGAGAAGAAACCCCCGGATCCGAAGCAGCACCCCCACGCGTACTTCCACGTGCCCTCGGAGATGACGAAGGGAACGGCAGCGGGGCGGCGAGGGCGAGCGCCACGGACCTGCCCTCGGCATCCCTATGCGAGACCACCTTCGTGAGACGCACGTGGACGAGAAAGTGCGTGAGGAAGTGCAGGCCAAAACTAGATGGACACACACATAGCCGGCTCAGTGTGATATGTATTATTAAAAAAAAAAGAGAGAGAGAAAAGAGCGAGAGAAAGAGAGAAAGCGCGCGCGAGAGAGAAAGAAGTAAGAGTATATTGTACGTAATATATAGCTACGGACTATCGATATCGAAGCAGTTAAACGTATACTAGGTATTATTCGTATATATAATGACCCGATATAGGTATATAACGACGAGAACGCGGGCGGAAGAAAGGGTGGGCGCGAGCGCGCGCGGACAATGTGTCCGTATATTTGCGATCGCGGACCGCGCACGCGGGCGCTTGCGTGTTCGTAACATTATGCACGAGTGCGTACGATTACGCCGTTGATTTAGCGCGGAATGGACCTAACTGGTAATAGGGGATTCGCGGCTGCGTGCAAACAGGCTTCCGTAATCTTCTTATGGGATATACGCATCGCTTTTTGTTTAATACGTTTCCGCTGATGGTGGCTGTAATCTCCATTGAGGCTTCGACGCCAGCATCTCGATGTAGTTCACTGCCTTTATCTTTCGAAAATTACCACTCCGGGACGCATCAACTGTCCCTCGTTACAATGGAGAAATTTGGAAAATATTGCAATTAACGTTTCACTTGAAACTATATTCAAAAAGCGATACTCCATCGCGTTAGATATAAAATAAAAGTGCGTAATCTTCGCCCGTATTTTTTAATTAAACCCCGATGGGAAAATATTTAGCAAATTATGTGACGAAATCTGGATGAAACTTGGAACGCTGGAATTATGCGTGCATATTTCGAACAACGTATCCAGAAATAAAGACCTTCCATCGAATATTGGTAAATATTTTTGCACAATGTATTTCTAAATGTCAGCGAAACAGCTGCCTTTTGGCGAATTACCTTGGCAGAATATTTGCACAATTAAATTGCTGTCGTGTTACGAGGAGCTGCCGCTACGATGCGTCTCGTACTCGTAAGTAAAATTCACGCGAGATAAAAGCAGGCCCAGCGGTAAATACGTCCCACGCTAAATCTTTTTTAAACATTTATTACACGTAACTGTGTTGCTGGGCAATTTTGCTTTTAAATGTCGAAATAATTGTGCATAATTTATCCTCTAAATTGAAATGATCAATTTTTGGGCAAACGCCATTTAGAAATTTTATTTCTACAAAATCGCTGCGTTTTGGCGAATCACCTTAGTGCAATCATTGTGAAATTTCTTCCTTTTGGATGATGCAATGATTACACAATATTTTAAATATTTTCCTGTCGGGGAATTTATCGAAAGTTGTTTGTACTTGTACGAAGCTATTGCGTTGACCGTAGGAATGACAATCGTAATTTTTTCTCTTGGGCGAAGTTTGTGAGTGATCGACCGCGAAATCTAAATCCACGTTGGGTCTATCTTTTCCTCAGCGAATTTTTACACTAAACGCGAATCTTCGATCGCATAGCTATTTCTACCCACTGAGCAATGGTCTTTGAATTTTTGCAAGAAAAGATCTACAAATACGCGAAAAATAAAATGGAAGAGAGACGTTTGTGAGAATGGTGCGAATGGCTGCAATACTTTTTCGCTGCAGATTGTTTGGTTTTGATACACTTCGCTTGGCTACAGTACACACGCGCGAGCAACATCGTCGTAGCCAATAAACCTGAACGAAACGGAGGTAAACAGAAAAGAACGGCGGTGTGTTTCTTGCCTTTTTCATCAGTTTAGTTGCAATGCTGCCGATTTAGCGCTCCAGCTATCACTTTAACTGCACAATTTTTAGCTAGGATGGATATTAGGCCGCTTGTAAATCGTGATAAACACGATAATCAAAGAGGAGCAATTATGCCGCTAAAGAATCGACATATAGAGTCACAGTTATGTGAGTAGGTCACGGGTAAGTGTCTAAATAAATGTAAAAAAAAAATATTTTAAGCATAGAAGAGACTTGATCGAAAGTAAGCCGTCAACGTCTTCTTACCTCACCTCACCGACAGCAGCAGTGGGAATGTAGCTTCATTTTTGAAAAAGCCAAGAAATCGCACCGCAACGATCGAGATCATTGGGATGGAGTGCGGTTTTCGAAAAATTTCCCCTTACGGCCTAATGTTACGTTTCGAGGTGCAAGATGCGCAGCCTGCAAGCTGCACGGAGCAACGGAAGACTCGCGTGCGAGCGTTCGGATCGAAGCAGCGGACGATACTAGGAAAACGAATTACGGAGGAACGGAAGGCGCGTATATAAATGTTCGGATAGCCGATCATGAGACGGATGTAACTGTACAGATCGATGAAACCGTCGGTAATCTGAAAGAAAAAGAAGTTCGCCGATACAAAACCGCGTAATTATTTTTGTATAAGCGCATTATTTATATATCTAAGCTAATTTGCTATTAGTTTAATCGAGGGGAGCGTAATTCGTTCGTACTACTTAAGCCCTTATTAATGTATGACGTACCTACCCAACATCTATTTATGCGTATATCTATTTTACCCCTGGATAACTGCATCGCATCTTCCACTGCCAGTATTTATATGTATTTATTCCGTTTCCTTGTTTCACCGATACGCACTTACGTTAAACTATCTCTTTAAACATATACTTTCATTTAGAAGACGAACGAATATCTCTCGACGTGCTTCGCTGTCGTCCTTCACGATTACAACGCGATCTTGCCGCCTAGCGTGCGCCTCGCGAGAAAGTACCAATCGTAGATTTTACGTAGACGTAGCTTCCGGCCGCTAAACGTTCGACGGCCACACGATTGAAGTGTATCTCTTAGAGTTTCGTCTCGAAA